CCAGCACTGGGGAGGCAGAGGCAGGCGGGTCTCTGTGTGAGTGGGAGGCTAGTCAGCCTGCTCTGCATACCGGCTGGCCTCGAACTCACAGAGATTCCACTGCCTCTGCCTCCCGACAGTGCAGGGATTAAAGATGTACGCCACAACCATCCTGAAAGTTCACGTTTGTACAGAGCATGGCCGAGGCAGCTCTAGGAGAATGGACCTGCCTAAGGGCCCTAACTGAGGAGGTACCGGTGACACTCCACAGCTGGGCCCACCTTGGCCCTTAGGGATGAACTCTCACTAGTCACCATGCTCCTCTCTGCTCGGTCCCCACCGGAACACCCAAGGGTCCCACTGGGAGGCGCATACCCATGATACAGGGCAGAGGGACTTGTACACACGCCGGTACCACTCGCACACGGAGACGTCACCCCCCTTCGCGTTCATGGCCTTCTCGCAGCGGTGGAAGTCTATGGAGAGAAGAGATTCCGATCAACCCAGACCAAGTGCATTTTTGAGAAAATTTCCATGTGCTTTTTGTTGTTTTTTTAAAGATTTATTTAATTATATATACAGTATTCTGCCTGCATGTACACCTCCAAGCCAGAAGAGGGCACCAGATCTCATGACAGATGGTTGTGAGCCACCATATGGTTGCTGGGAATTGAACTCAGGACCTCTGGAAGAGCAGCCAGTGCTCTTAAGCTCTCAGCCGTCTCTCCAGCCCTCCATGGTTGGTTACACACACAGGGCGAATGCAAATTCAAAAGGTACCATAAAGAGCTGCATACACCTGACCTGGGCAGTTACACTGTTGCTCAATGTGACATTCTGGATCCAGGAACCATAGCAAAATATGAGGGGCCTTTGAAGATTATGAAGTCCAGACACGGCCGGGAAAGGGTAAGATGGTCTTGCTCATCAGCAAAGTAGACAGGAGGGGGTGACAGTGTTTGCTTTGTTTTATACTTTTCGAGGGGAGGTGTCACGGAGCACCAAAACCTAACTATCTTCAATTTGTGGTGTCATGCCTCTAGTGACGAAGGGAGTGATGGCAATACCCATTTTCTACATGGATTGTGGATGGATGCAGGAGTCACTTCTGAACTGATCGTTTACATGTTGTATTCACTTGTATGTTGTGTGCGTGTGTGGCGCACACACATACACACACAAAATGCATACATAATTCTTCAAAAAAAATTTATCGTTGAGACTCAAGTTTGTGACTTTGACAGCTAGTATGAGGGGTACGGGCCCTCCAGACCGTATGTATATCCAGAGTGAACGGATGCAAGCTGGGATGCACGAGTCCCCGTGCCCCATCGTCCCTCATGAGGCAAGAGGTATGTAGAAGACACCGGCAAGACTCACGCACGCACGCACGCACACATGTTACCTTCCCACCCTGGTACTCTGCTTACCCAAGTAGTTCTGCCAGCAGTTCTTGGTCTGGTTCTGGTTTGGGAAGCGGCTGTCAAAGGGGGCGGTTTTGTAGTTCTTGATCTTAGTCTGGATGTCTTCAGCCATGGTGCTCACTCCTGGATGCCAACAGAATTTGGACATGGGCAACCGTTCCAGGGATGCCTGGGCACAGGCGTGTCAGACCAACGAGGCCCACGGGAGAGTCCAGACCAGAATGTGAACAAGCTATTCCCCCCTCCTCCTCAGCAGACACAGGAACGATGAAGGGCAGGGAAAATGCACGCATCTGAGTGTAGATGCCTACTGTGGCTCAGGAGACAGAGGCCTCCGTGGCAAAACCAGGCTTTATCCTTAGATTCCAGTTAGCACTCACTGCGTGCATGGCACATACTATGTGCACTCTGTCAGTCTAAAAGGCATTACTATAAAAAAAAATGCTGGGCGTTGGTGGCTCACGCCTTTAACCCCAGCACTCGGGAGGCAGAGGCAGGAGGATCTCTGTGAGTTTGAGGCCAGCCTGGTCTACAAGAGCGAGTTCCAGGACAGCCTCCAAAACAATACAGACAAACCTTGTCTGGGGCGGGGGGAGCATTACTATCTCTATTGTCTATACAAGGGACAGGGTGACTAGATGCCTTCCCAAGGTCACACAGCACCCAGATGGTTGTGCTATATCCATCATCACCCAAAACATTACAAGGAGTCTTGCTGCCACACACTCACCAGGGTCCTACGAACCCATAGATTTCTCTCAGAATACGGCTACATACATGGCAAAGTTGCTTAGGGTGACCAAAAAAAAAAAAAAATGGCCCAAAGGACTTGGTCAAGTACCACAACTGGAGGTTAACCCCGAGCGGAGACGGCGATTTGTTGTGACACTGGCAACTAGAATGTGTGAGGTAGTTGTGATTTTTGACTGCTGCCAAATCTACTTAAGTCGCTGCTTTCGTTCCTAGTGGAAGTAGACGCTACATTTCTTTTCTTTTCTTTTCTTTTTTTTTTTTTTGGTTTTTCGAGACAGGGTCTCTCTGTATTGTCTTGGAGCCTGTCCTGGAACTCCCTTGGTACACCAGACTGGCCTCGAACTCACAGAGATCCGCCTGCCTCTGCCTCCCGAGTGCTGGGATGAAAGGCCTGCGCCACCACCGCCCGGCTAGATGCTACATTTCAATGAGAGGTTAATAAAACCACCTCGCGACTCCCCCATATGCATGCAAACACCTTAGCGCCTCGAATTCTATTGACTCTGAGTACCCATGGGGTTAAAAAAACAAAAAACAACCCTTTGATAGGATGCCTGAAGGGATGACACAGCCAGCGTCACCGAACCCGAGATAAACTCTCTATTCTAGAGCATCTTGGGGGGGGGGGGAGAACCTTGGCCAGTGTCAATTCAAGGGACCCAAAGGAGCCGGGCACCTGGGGCAGGGCGGAGACGGGGGCATTTAACAGACCCAGGGTCGGAAGTAATTCTGTGCATCATCTCGGGTTCTGAGAGCTGATCAAGGATGATCAAGGCGCCGAGGCGGGCATCAGGCTGGGTGCAAGCCGTGAACCCCGCATAGCGGAGGCTGGGGCGCGTCACACCCCAGGGGACAACGGCGGCCCCGGCTGGCGGGGCTGGAGGGTGGAGTAAGTTAACAGAGACTGCTCAGAATGCGGCCTCGCCCCAAGAGGGAGGGCTACGGTGGTCAGCTCAGGGCCCGGGGATGGTCAGCTCAGGGCCCCGGGGATGGTCAGCTCAGGGCCCCGGGGATGGTCAGCTCCAGGGCCCCGGGGCCCGACGCCGCCACGGCGGCCGGAAGCTTCCTCCCGGGCCGCTTCTCCGCTCTGGACTGGGTCCCTCGGGATCCCCGACCCTTCCGCACTCACCTGGAGACCGCCCCGGAGAAGCCGCTGCTCAATGTGACCCTTAGCAAAGACGCCAATGTCAGACGGGAAGCGGAATTCCAGACGGGCCGGAAGCTGCGAGGGGAGGAGTGGAGCTGAGTCCTCCGCGAGGCTAGAGAGGCCACGGGGAGGGGGGCGCGGGAGGGGGCGTGCCCAGAGGCGGGCCTGGCCACGCCCACTCCCAGAGGTCCGCCCTCCGACCGAGCACTTCCTGCTCGTTGTTGTTGCCGGTCCCGCCGGGGTCTTGCGTTGCGCTCGGCAGGCTCTTGAGTTCTAACTGCGGCTGTGTCGTCCCCTGCCTGTCCTTCCGGGAGGAAAAGGACAGTCGCGGGGCTGACGGCAGAGTAGGAATGGGGAAAACAGCCCAGATAATCTGCTTGCGTCTTGAGACAGAATTTTGCTAAGTGGGCCAGGCCGGCCTCGAACTCAGATTCCGACCGAGTGCTGGGGTTAGCAAACGCGTACCATTAGGCCTGGACTCGAAAGTTATTTTCGTTCGCGCGTTGTGGGGTGTCCAGCAGAGGAGACTGCTCGGGCATGAGTTTAAGCCAACAGAAAGTGTTTTACTAGGCCGGGCGTTGGTGGCGCACGCCTTTAATCCCAGTCTCAGGAGGCAGAGGCAGGCGGATCTCTGTGAGTTCGAGGCCAGCCTGGTCTACAGAGCGAGTTCCAGGACAGGCTCCAAAACAATACAGAGAAACTCTGCCTTGAAAAAAAAAAAAGGCACTGCTGAAGAAAATACAAAATCCTCACCTTCATAGGTACTAAAACCTTTGTTAAAAGGTGAGAAATGAACGAACGGGTCTATTCTATGGTCTCACTCATCATCATATCAGACACCACACTCCCTGTTCATTACTGTCCTCAAACCTCAGAAATCACAATTTACACATTCAGACAGCTGACAGACCCGAGTTAATCAGAGGAGACTATAGGACTTAAATGCTAGGTCCGCTGGAAATAGTTCATTGTACCGTTGATTTTTTTTTAAGACTTATTAGGTAGACAGCGTTCTGCCGGCATGCACGCCTGTATGCCAGAAGAGGGCGCCAGATCTCATTACAGACGGCTGCGAGCCACCCTGGTTGCTAGGAATTAACTCGGGACCTTTGGAAGTGCTCTTAGCCTCGGAGCCATCTCTCCAGCCCCACGGAATTTTTTTTAAAAACTTGTTCATATAGCCTGCGTGATCTATCAGGTAATCCTGTTCGTCCTGGCTTTATACTATTTCCAGAGCCTTCCTCTGCTACATGCAGTCTGGATCCTTCCTCCTGGAGTATTATGGCAGGTCCATTCCCTGGCATCTCGGCGTTCCACGGTGTGCACCCTCCGCTGTAAGGACGCTGTTAACACCTCAGGTAGACCACGTCCTTTCTTCAGCCAGAACGCATTCCCTGGCTTCTGGTGTAACTAGGCTAAAGCTAAAGCCGTTGCAAATGGCCCGCTTCCTCGAGCTTTGAATTTGCTCCTTGTCCTGCCTGCAGGTGGCGCCTCTTCTCCCTGCTTTGAGACTGGTTTAGTAACCTCTGCTGAGTGAAACTTTTTACAAAAGTTTACTTATTACAATGTACAACAAGCTCCAAGATAACACTTCATTCTAGCTGTAGGTGGCGAAGATGTTATTCTGGCAGGGAATCCAGATGTTTAAATAGGAATGGAAGAGGGTCATCATCATCTCAGGTATGAGTGAGGAACGCTTACTTTTTGCCAGATTTCTTAATTCCAGCTGTGGCCAGGGGCCCCTTCCCCGCGGCCTTGGCTTTCAGCTCCTCCAGTTTCTTCTGCTCCTCCTTTTGTTTCTGCTTGAGAGCCTTATCTTCCTCGTCCATCTCCTTGGCCTGCTTCTTGGGCTGTTTCAGGGGCATCTTTTTGCCACCTTCGTGGCCCGACATGGCACCCACAGACAGCCCCTTCCCAGACTCCTCCTTTTTTTTATGTGCAATGATGTTTTGTTTTCATGGTGTCTTGGGTGAGGGTGTCAGATCCCCTGGAACTGGACTAATAGACAGTTGTGAGCTGTCATGTGGGTGCTGGGAATTGAACCCAGGTCCTCTGGAAGAGCAGACAGTGCTCTTAACCACTGAGCCATTTCTCCAGCCCCCTACATGCTGTCTCTGATGCACTGTCTAGACCTAACGGGTGCAGAAGCATTGCAATTATTTGTGGAGTTATTTGTGTACACATCCATTCCTTTCAACACCTTCCTGAAGTCCAGATCTCTTATACACCTCTGGGGCTCCTCAGGGCATCGGAAACCAAGACACCATGGCCTGTGGATCCCTTGTAAAGGGAGCCCTCTCCACCAAGTGCGTTATCTCTGGACAGCACTATAAGATCTTCCATCTCTGGGTCTTTTCTGATTGAAACATTCTTTGCTTTCCTGACGTCTCTCTGCCCCAACCCCCAGACTCTCTTCCTCTTGGGGTAGATCAGTTTCCTCCTTTTGGGCTCCCACAGTCCCCTGGGCTCTCTCCATCCTAGCCCAGAGAACTGCGGGCTGTCCCTTGCTGGGGGTGCCTGTCCACTGCACTGCCAACCCTCTGAGGACAGGGTTCAGGACTCTTGTGGACAGTGAGTGATGTATTTCTGGGTCACTCACTGGAGAGTTACAGAGTAGGCTTTCTTTGGAGGATCCTGAAGTGGGTTTAGCATCCAGTACGCTTTTTAAAGGTCTGGTTCTTTAGTATTCAGGCATCTGTACTGGCCCCTCCTTGGGGTTCTGACAGGATACACCCTCAGCTGCTGCCAGGAAGAGCACCTCCTGTGTGCATTCACTATGCTCCCTTTTAGAAGGGCCCTGCCCACCTCCCATCCTTCTCTTTCTTTCCTTTCCTTCTATGTTCCTTTCTTTCCTTCCTTCCTTCTTTCCCTCTGTCTCTGTCTCTCTCTCTCTCTGTCTCTCTCTCTCTCCCTGTCCCTGTCATCTGGTCTTCCCTCCCCATTTTCCCCTCTTTATGATTCCTTTTCACTAATAAAAACCCCTCCACTTGAATTCTGTTCCATGGCATCTTTCTCTCTGGGCCACTTTTTTACATTACGACAAGTCTTCCAACTTGGAGTACCCATGGGAGTGTGTGTTAGTTCTAATTATTCAATGACTTCCAGAAATAGAAGATACTCAACAAGTTACTTTTTGAGGGGGGGAGCCTGGGTTTCTCTCTCTCTCTCCGTCTCTCTGTCTCTGTCTCTCTCTCTGTCTCTCTGACTCTGTCTCGCTCTCCCTCTTTCTCCCTCCCTCCCTCCCTCCCTCCCTCCCTCCCTCCTTCCCTCCATCCCTCCCTCCCTCCCTCCTGGGTTTCTCTATGTAGCTCTGACTGTCCTGAAACTCACTATGTAGACCAGGTTGGCCTGGAGCTCACAGAGATCTTTGTAAGGGCTTTTCTTCAAGACAGAGCAGATAAACTTCTATGATGTGGTTTTATAGCCACAATAGCACTCTTACTATCATAAAATGCCCAAATGGGGCTACTTTGTAAAGAAAGTAGGTTTGTTTTTGGCTCACGGTCTGGAGCAATACCCCAACTGAGGCTCTGAACAGGGACTCATGGATTGATTATGCCATTTCATCCCTGGATGGATTTCGTTTGTTTGTTTTTAAACAGTGCCTTGCTATGTAGCCCAGACAGATCTGGGGGCCTACAGATCTGGGGGCCTAAATTTACAATTCTGTCTCAGTCTCCTGAATGCTGTGAAATTAGTGGTCTATGTCACCACTTAGTCAAATGGCTTTTTTTTCTTCCTTTTTTCTTTTTTGAGACAGGGTTTCTCTGTGTAACAGTCCTAGCTGTCCTGGAACTCACTCTGTAGCTTTGTAGACCAGGCTGATCTCTGCCTCCTGAGCACAGAGATTAAAGGCGTGTATCACCACACCGGCTTCAAACGGCCTTCTTGCTAGTTGTCTCAAGACAGCCAGGACATCACATGGTATGAGACCAGAACACACTGTGTCTCTCTATTTCTATTTACAAACATCGGAACGCAATCATGAGGAATCCTAAACCTCTAACCACGTTCAAATGGGCCATCTCTAGACACTGAAGATTAACTTTCTGTGCTCTTGTTTAACATAAACCTTTGGGAATTAAATTCTTAGCCTGGTGGTGGTGACCACTGCCCAGGCCTTTAATCCCAGCACTCAGGAGGCAGAGGCAGACAGATCTCTCTGAGTTCAAGGCCAGCCTGGTCTAGAGTGAGATCCAGGATAGCAGGGGCTACACAAAGAAACCTTGTCTTGAAAAACTAATATATAAATAAATTCTTAGATATATTAGAGGATAAACTATTGTCAAACCTTAACAAGCCCAATTTTACTGGGCAGTGGTGGTGCACACCTTTAATTTAGGAGGCAGAAACAAGTGGATCTCAGTGAGTTTGAGGCCAGCCTGGTCTACAAATTTGGTTCCAGGACAGCCAGGACTGTTACACAGAGAAACTGTCTCAAAAAATAAAAATAAAAAAGTTTAACTCTTTAAAAGTCCCTATACCAGGGCCTGGAGAGGTGGCCCAGCAGTTGAGAACACTGGCTGCTCTTCCAGAGGACAGGAGTTCAATTCCCAGCACCCACATGACAGCTCACAGTTGTCTGTAACTCCAGGTCCAGGGCATCTGACCCCCTCACACAGACATGCATGCAGGCAAAACACCAATGCACATAAACATAAAATAAATAAATCATTAAAATGTTTATTTTAGGGCCGGGCGTTGGTGGCACACGCCTTTAATCCCAGCACTCGGTAGGCAGAGGCAGGTGGATCTCTGTGAGTTCGAGGCCAGCCTGGTCTACAAGAGCTAGTTCCAGGATAGCCTCCAAAGCCACAGAGAAACCCAGTCTCAAAAAACAAAACAAAACAAAACAAAAGTCTCTATACCGGACAGGCACACACAGAAGGCCCTATGGATTTCTTTTTTTTTTTTTTTTTTTTTTTTTTTTTTTGGTTTTTCGAGACAGGGTTTCTCTGTGGCTTTGGAGGCTGTCCTGGAACTCACTTGGTAGTCCAGGCTGGTCTCGAACTCACAGAGATCCGCCTGCCTCTGCCTCCCGAGTGCTGGGATTAAAGGCATGCGCCACCAACGCCCGGCGGCCCTATGGACTTCTTACCCCAAAGTAATCTCCAAGTTGAGAGGTGCAGATGCGGAGTGGAGGGGCGGGACCGAACCCTGAAACTTGAGCACCTGAGGCAGGGCTGGGAGGGGCCTGGCAGGGAGACAGCTGGGCATAGTAGCAGATGGGTTCCTGACGGGAGGAACTGGTCCTCACTCCTGGGTCCTCTTAGTGGGGAAACTAAGACACTGACAGTCTAGGGACTCTGGGCGTCAGAATCCAGGCTCATAGCCTTTGTGAAAGACAGATAGGGGTCTGGGTACCCGAATCTGGGTGGAGAAGCCATACGGACGTGTCAGGAATTTAGGTTCCCGGACAGGTCTAATGAGCGTCAGTGAAAAAAGCAGAAGACAAGTAGGCAGGTTTGACGGGGTGTTTTTATTGACTTTCTGCCCCCGGCAGGGGCCCCGTGCTATCCCGACAGGGAAGGACCGGCACACGTCCCCCAAAGCGGTACGTGTACTTGCGCCCACCGCTCTTGAGCACGATGTCGCGGCGGTAATAGTAGCGCAGACCTCGGCTCAGCTTCTCGTAATTCATTCCTGGCTTCCTCTTGCGCTCGCCCCACAGCCTGGCCACCTAGGAGGCAACAGAGCGGTCAGAGGGGCGAGCGGGGCGGGGCGGGGCGAGCGGGGCGGGGCCGAAGGCTAGGCCAGGCTGGTGGCTGGACCAGGGCTGTGTCTCACCTCCTTGGGGTCGCACAGCTGGAACTCGCGGCTGTTGCCCGTCCAGCGGATGCAGCTGCTGCGCGCCCCGTCGTGGAGCAGCTCCAGGAGGAACTGCCACAGCTGGATGGGACCTGCCATGGTACGAAGAGGCAGGTGAACGCCGGGCTTCCCAGACCCAAAGCACTTCGTCTGCTGCGGGACGACTCTGGGAGTCGGGGAGCCTTCACGTCGAAGGCTAAAAGGTTCGGGTTCTGCCACGCTAGGACCCAAGGGTTTAGCTCTCTGCCCCTCCTCGGGCGTCTGTGGGTTCGCATCCCTCCACACTAGAGACCCAAGAGCCAGTTTCCAGGCAGCCTGAACCCCATCTAGGAGATTCACGGGTTTGGTTCCCCCCCCTCGAAGACCCAGGAGTCCAAACGCTGCTCCTGTTTCCTCTTTCGTAACCCAGGGGCCCGCCGACCTCCTTGTCCCCTTGGTACCTAGGAAGTCACCAGTGTCCCCTCACCACCCCCCTTCCTTCCTTCCTAAGCTTCAAGGTACAGAACCCCGGCCCCGAGTTGCCAGTTTCCCAGATCTCGCCTTTTTTTAGTCTCCCACCACCACCACCACATCAAAGTGAGCACACAGGCTCCATCCCCACATCCGCCAGCCGTCACCTCCTCTGCATTTGCAGCCTCTTACCTCGGTGGTTACTTTTGGGGTAGCGAGCCACGCTGGCGCGATCAGGCTGCTGGCTGGATTTGGTGGAGGACGCGGAGACCGCGGGACCTGGGTACGCCTCGCGAGGGACGCTGCAGTCCAGCAGCAGCTCAGCGCCCCACGAGGCGGTGTGGTCCGAACCCGCGGACCCGCCCCACGACGCCCTACAGTCCGCACGCGCCTCCCCGCCCAGGCCATTGTCCCAAGAGGTGGCGCCACTGGTGCCCACGGAACAGTCCCAGCTGGCGGCGCTCCAGGCGGCCGCAGGGTGCGACCAGGAGGGGTCAGGGTGCGGTGGGCCGGTCGCCCCGTCAAAGCCAGCGAAGGGGGCGGGGCCCGGAGGGGCGGGGCCGGGCGTCTGCGAAGCGCGGCGGCTCCACGGGTCCGAGGTGTAGCAGCCCAGGTCGGCCCAGTCTCGCGACCACGGAAGGGGGTGAGCAGCCGGCTCTGTCAGGAGGAAGGGGCCTTAAAGTGAGGGGGGGAGCCCTGGAGTCTTGGTCCCCTGCATCCTTGGGAGCTTCAGGGGGCGTTGGCGCTTTATGTAGCCTTGAGGATGGAGGTGACCCCAAGGTCTAGCCCGGCTCCTCTGTAGACTAGGGGGATCTCAACTCTCAACTCCCGGAGTGTCAGGGTCTCCCGCCTCCCTTTCCTGCACACTCACCCGCCTCCCAAGGTACTTCCTCCTGCGGTAGAGCGGGGCTCCAGTCCAGCTCGGGGAACCCTGCGTCGGACAAGATAGCAGCTGAGTTAGGATGGTGTGACCCCACCCATGCCTCCTCCTCCCGGCCGGCCCCTCATGCCCTCTAAAGAGCCCAGCCTCTCCCATATCCCATATCCCCCCCCCCGCCTCTCCCATGTCCCCCAAGCCTCTCCCATGTGCCCCCGGCCTCTCCCATGTCCCCCCGGCCTCCCCCATGTCCCCCCAGCACCCGAGGGGTCCAGCCCGGCCTCCACCTTTCCAGCAGCTGTCTACTGTCATCGGTGAGATCGCTGTGTCCCCTTGCAGTGCCACTTCAGGGAAATAGAAACCAAATTCCGCTCCTTCTGCGGGCACACAGGGATGTTAAGGCCGGGGTCGTGGGTCCAGAGGCCTGCATCCTCTCGGACCCTTGCTTTCTTGCCTTGTCCCAAGCCACAGCAGCCTACCTAGTCCTGTCAGCTTGTCCCCAGGAGGCACTTCCTGCAGCGATGCTTCATCCCAGCTCCACAGGTCCATGGATGCTTGTTCTGCTTGCTCTGGTAAAGAAAGGCAAAGCCCCAAGGGTAAATGGACAAGCTCGTGACATTTAGGTACCCAGGAGTCTGATTGCAACCCTTGTTTCCCTCGGACCCAGGAGTCTAGACTTCTGCAATCTACTTCCCCAGGAAATGGAATTCTGGTTTCCAGTCCCTTCTCCCCCTTTCAGACACTTAAATTCAGGCTCCCCAGAGTCCTGGGAGTTCCCAGGTCCTCCCTGGCTCAGATACCCAGGCATGCGTCCCCAGTTTGTGGTGGCTCACCCCTGGCAGGTTCCTTCTCTCCTAGCCAGGGGGGTCTCAGCCCCATTTCATACCTTGCACCCTTCCCGGGGGGCCTGAGTAGGGGAGGGGGGAATTTTCCGAGACGTCAGAGCTGGGGGTCGCAGCCCGGGTCAAGTTGCAGGGATGGGGGCGTGGCCAAGCTGCACCCCCTGCTTTAGGGATGGACACTGATCCCTGCAACTGTCCCGTTTCAGGGATGAGCTGGGCTTGGAAAAGGCCGTGGGGAACAGGGGCAGGGCCGGGCTGGGGGTGCCGAGGTCTAAGGGGTGCTTACGGGGTAGTGGGGGTAGGGTGGGATTGGATAGGTTCCCCATCTTGAAGACTTGGTGCTGTGACATGAAAGGTGGCAGTGGAGGAGGGGTCTGGGGTCAGCTGGGCAGCTCTGGGCTTATCTGCAACAGGAAGAGGGATTTCCGGCCAGATGCCCCCTTCCCCTAGCATCAGCCTACGTCACAATCGGCAGGGTGACAGACAGCCAGATGGGTCGGGTGGGGGGCGGAATCCAACTCTGAGTCCCCTACTACTAGGCGCGGTTAGGGAGGGTCTCCTGAACAGTGGCAATCATAATCCAAAATAGCATCAGTGTGTTGTAATAATACTTAGCGTAACCCTGACGCTAAATGAGGGACTGCTGGGTCCCAGGAGATGCACAACAGGCCTTCATGTAATCTTCTTAGTAGGAGGAAGATGTTTTCATCCCAGGTTTATGAAGGGGAACATTGAGATATGCTTTCTCCCATTTCTCTTTCAGTCCAGATAGCTTGTTTTTTGGGGCTGTATCGGTCCCGGACCACTGGGAAATGTTGAGTATGAACTGAATTGAGTTATTGCATGGGACAATTTTATTTATTAAAATTATTTTAACTTTTGGCAAAGATTACTTGGATTGTGGCAATGGTAGGCTGGGGAAGATCTTTGTTAGAAAGTGAAAACGTTTAGGGATGGAATGTTATATTTGCAGCTTGCTTCAAATGATTCCAAAAAGAATCACATGACATCGGGCATATGCATACACAATATTTGGGACATAGCTATACCGAAAAGTGGGTGTGTGCTTGTTTCTTAAACTGAAACTCAGTAATTAGGGTGTTCTGTTTGTTTTGTTTTAATTTGCTAAGCCGGCAAACCTTAGCTTCTGTAAACTGGCCTCACACAATGTACATGTGCCCATTTTTCTAAGTACTTAGTAAATATTAATAGGTAAGTATTCTGTATTAAAATATGTGAGGTCCAGGCTGGACCGACAGCCTCCAAAACAATACAGAGAAACCCTGTCTCGAAAAACCAAAAAAAAAATGTGAGGTCATTTTAATATTTAATTTTAATATTAAGATTTTACTTACAAATAAATATTTGATACTGAAAGCACTTTTATTGCCAGATATGATAGCATATGCCTTTAACCCCAGCACTAGGGAGGCAGAGGTAGGTAGATCTCTAGATTTCTTTATTTTTGTTTGTTTGTTTGTTTGTTTGTTTGAGACAGGGTTTCTCTGTATAGTTTTGCAGGCTGTCCTGGAACTCACTCAGTAGACCAGGCTGGCCTCGAACTCACAGAGATCCGCCTGCCTCTGCCTTCTGAGTGTTGGGATCAAAGGCGTGTGCCTGGATTTCTATGCCAGCCTAGACTATATAGTGAGTTCCAGGCTAGTCAGGGCTACAAAGTGAGACCCTATTTAAAAAATAAATAAATACAAACATTTTTCTTTTTTAATAATTTAGTTATTATAGCCAGGTGGTTACACACCTTTAGTCCCAGCACTTGGGGGGCAGAGGCAGGTGGATCTCTGTGAGTTCAAGACCAGCCTGGACTACAGAGTGCCAGGACAGGCTCCAAAGCCACAGAGAAACCCTGTCTCAAAAGCAAACAAAAAATATTTATTTTTCGTGCATTGGCATTTTGCCCACGTGTATGTCTGTGTGAGGGTGTCAGATCTTGGAGTTACAGACAGTTGTGAGCTGCCACGTGGGTGCCAGGAATTGAACCTGGGTCCTCTGGAAGAGCAGCCAGTGCTCTTAAATGCCGAGTCAGCTCTCCAGCCCCACAACATTTTTCTTTATTTGCTCTACCCTTAGCTGTATCTCTATCCCATTACCCTTAACTCTAATGTTGTATGCGCACCAGGACGTGCGTGTAGAAGTCTGAAGACAGATTTGTGGAGTCAGTTCTCCTACCTTTACATCTTCCCATAAAGTCTTTGGTTTTTATTTGATTATTTTAATTTTTTCTTCTTTTTTTTCAGAATAGGGTCTATGTTGCCCCAGCTGGCCTCAGACTCGCAGACATCTGCCTAAATCTGCCTCTTGAGTGCTGGCATTGTTTGTTTGTTTGTTTTTGTTTTTGTCAGTGCTCACCCCACCCACACACACCTTGCCCCTTGGTTTGAGACAAGGTTTCTCTTTGTATCCTGGAACCAGCTAACTCTGTAGACCAGATTGGCCTTAAACACACAGAGATCCCCAGCCTACGCCTTCAGGACTAAAACGGTGTGTACCACCACTGCCTAACAGGTTTGTAGTGTGTGTGTGTGTGTGTGTGTGTGTGTGTGTGTGTGTGTGTGTGTGTGTGTGTGTGTGTGTGTACACTGTCAGAGGACAGAGGGCAGTAAGGGATAGTGTTCTTCCACCACGCAGATCCTGGGGATCAAACTCGGGTCATCACGAGTGGCCACAATCTGTCTCTCCCCACTGAGCCATCTCACTCACCTAACCCTTTGCTTTTTAGAGCTAGGGTAGCCCAGGATGGCCTCAAATAGAACTGTGGATCCTCCTCCTTCCTGGGTTCTGCACCACAATGCCTAGCAAATTTTTTAAAAAAAATTATGTGTAGAGTGTTTGCTGTATACCATGTGCATACCTGGTGCCCATGGAAAGAGGAAGGTGGCATTGGACCCTCTGGAAATGGAGTAACTGGTGATTATGAGCTACCATGTGGGCACTGAGAACCAAACCCAGGTCCTCTGCAAGAGCAGCCAGTGCTCTGAACTACTGAGCCAGCTCTTCAGCCTCCTGCCCCAAATCTTTGTAGCACATTCTCAATCTCCAGAACCGGCAGAGCCGCCCCCCCCCCATTCTTCAGACTTTTGGAGGGTGAGGGAGGCATCCCTGATCTTGTATTTTGCAGAAAAACTGAACCTCAATAAAATAGTCTTCTGGGTCCAGTGTTAAGTGAGCCCCAAGTCCCTGGGGGAGATCCCCAACGCCCCAATCCATCCATTCACCAGAAGCCTGAAGGGTCCTGGTGTCCTTGCTCTGGATTTCCTTTCTCTGAAGCTGGCCTCTCCTGTGTCCCTCTCCTCTGATTCTGGTCCCTAGCCCTGGATCCCTGCTGTACCCTCTGTCCTGTTCTCTTTGACAATCCTTTCTTGGGTTACCATTGCATCCCCTCCTCCCTTACTCCTTAAGTTTCGGGGACAAGGGGTTCAGGGTAAGAAGGACTGGCTGGTCACGGGGAGAAGGGAGTCTAAGGGTTCTGGGGGTTGAGCGGTCCATTCCAGGTGGCAGGGGACTAAAGGGCACTTCCTGCCAGGGAGGGAGGCCCTCACCTCCCGGGGCCAGACTGGAAAATGTGACGTCAGAGAGGGAGCTGTAATGTAAGGGGTGTGGGGACACAGGAACAGAAGAAATCTGACACCTCTCCAGAGGATCTTCCAGGGAGGTTGGGATTCTCTCTCTACCCTCCACGGAGACTTCCTTAATTTGTTCTCTAATTCAGAGTTCCGATGGGTGTCTCTGAGAGCCCTGAACTTCTGCCTTCTGGCCCGGGCCTCCCCAGCTTCTATAAGGTGGTAGGCTTGGGCATTTCCTTTCTGATTTTTTTTTCTTCTTTTGGAGACAGTTTCACTTTGTAGTCCTATCTAGCCTGTAACTTGATATGTAGACCAGGCTGGCCTCTAATTCCTAGTTTCTGCCTCTGCCTCCCAGTGCTGGGATTAAAGGTGCATACCACCACACCCAGCCAGTTTTTTGTATCCTGTGGATCCCTTGGCAGTTACCCTGCATAGACTATCACCTCCAGTGCAGGAATTCCATTTTGTGGGTTTCTGAGACAGGGTCTTGGTATGCAGTCCAGACTGGCCTTGAAGTCCTGGTCATCCTCCTGCCTCAGCCTTTTCCTTATGCATTGCCAACTCAAGCATCAGGGGTCTAGTGTCAACCTTTCACCCAGGTCTAGTTTGATGCCAATGCTTTGTCTCAGCTGCCTGGGCTCAGTGCTGTCTTCATAGGAACATGAGCCTCGGCCTGGCACCCAAGGTCTAGAGGACATTCTTTAAAGTGAAGCTAGGGATAGACCCCAGAAATGCAGACGGCTAACAGGTTTGGAGAGGGAATGAGAAATAGGGACTCAGAAGCCTGTTAAGAGATGCTGAATAGGGCTCAGCAAAGAAAACATCTCATGTTCCTGGATGTGGTTCACAACTGTACTCCAAGCCCTTGGGAGACTGAGGCGGGAGAAACCAGCATTTGAGGCTAACCTGGGCTACACAGCAAGAACTTGTTTTTAAAAGGGAGAACCAGAGGTGAGGAAGGTAGTAGAGTTTCAGCTAGAGATGGAAGTACACACTGGGGTTCCAGTACCTGGGGGACTGAGGCGGGTGTGCTAAGCTTGAGGCCAGCCTGGGCTACAAAGCTAGCTCATGGCCAGACTGCCTCAAAACACACCTCCTTGCTGGGCTGTGGCAGAAGGTGGATCTTTGAGCTCTGGGCCAGCCTGGTCTACAGACAGTTCCTCCTTCAGAATGCCTGTATCCTCAGGCTAGTTCCTGGGCTTCCCAATACACGGCCTGACCATGTGCAGGCCTGTCTGGCTTGGGGTCCATGGAGACAGTGCATCGTGAGCTCTAAGAGCTGTAGAAAATCACGGAATCACCAGCATTGCCTAGATCCTAGGACACATGGAAGCCTGCCATAATGTGTACTCTACAAGGGCAGGGCCTAGATACCCCAACACCCTACTTCAGTGCCAAGAGCACAGGCTGGTCAGAGATATGGACCCAAGCTAGGCTTGGCTTTGACCTTGCGGCAGGCCCTCTTCCTCAGACAGAAGGGGCTACACTAACCATGCGCTTGAGATTTTAGGAGGCCCGAGGGTAGAGGTAAGGCTCTGATGACCTAGTTAGTACATACAAGGTCCCGAATTCAATCCCCAGTACCCATACCCTTGGTGTGGTAGTACATGCATGTAATCCTAGAGCTCTGGGTCTCCCTTTTAAAAACAATTTCTTGCTATGTAGCCCAGGTTAGCCTCAAATGCTGGTTTCCCCCACCTCAGTCGCCCAAGTGCTTGGAGTATAGCTGTGAACCACATCCAGGAACATGAGATCCGTCTTGGGAGGTGGGGAGATGACTCATTGGGTAAAGATATTTGTCACCAAATCTGAGTACCAGTTTGATCCCAGGAACTCAAGGATGCTCTGACTTACACACCCCACACACATACACGAAATAAATGCTTAAACAAAACAAAACCAGAAGTAATGGGCACACACCAGAGGCTTGACAACGCACAACTGAATGTCTGCTGGGCAAACTTTCCAAGTTCCCTCTTTTGAGGTGGGGTGAGCCAAGCCTTGTCAGCGGACGGTCTCTAAGCCCAGGCAGGGTATGGAAATGAAGGTGAATTTATTGAAACTGGTTTTGGGACAGGTGAGCAGACAGCTGGATTTCCACTAACATCTGTAGGAAGGAGCTAGCGCCTGGCTGGGTGGGTGAGTGCCAAACCACAGACCCTATCTGAGGCCCAACTTTTTCTTTTCCTTCTGCTTCTTGCGGACCACGTCCAGGTTCCGGTCCTTCCACATGCTCTTGCGAAGCTTGATGGGACGGGAGCCCACGTACTTCCCTGCGGGAACGGAAGACCCCAGGTCAAACTCGGGAGGCCAGGCTGTGTCAGGTGTCTACCAACCACCCTGGGACAGGGACAGGCCTCACCCACCGTTCATCTCTCGCATGGCGCGCACATAGTCACTGGGGTCCTTGAAGCTGACAAAGCCATAGCCCTTGGTTTTGCCTGTGCGCTTGTCACGGATCACCTTAGCCTTAAGGAAGGATGGGAAACGGCTGAAGGCACGGGCCAAGATGTCATCGTTCACCTCATTGCCCAGGTCCCCGCAGAAGATCCGGAAGTCATCTGGGATGAGGAGAGAAGAGGTCAGAGTATCTGGGTGCTCCTCCACCCCTAGTCTCTGCCCCCGGGACCCTCAGTAATAACTGCCAATATCCATGCAGCAGTGGCCACCTTGTGACAGGCCACCTGTCAGGTAAGCACCAGGCACCAGAGACCCCCCAGGCCCTTCCCCACCGAGGCAGAGGCACCAACTGCTGCCTGAACTCACATCAAGCAGAGCTGGGACAAATTTGGGCATCTGGCTCCAGAGTCTCTGGCACCCTATTTTTCAAACAGGTTCTTGTTATGCAGTAGCCCAGGCTGGCCCCCCAAAGCTGGGACTACAGATGTGAACAACCACACCCAGCCAGAGTCTACATCTTAACCTCTAAGTGAATAAATAGCCTTTCCTCACCTACAGCGGTCATGCTCACTTCCGCAATGAAGCCTCAACTCTGGCCCAGCTCTACCCTTTCTCTTGGTCTTCTGTGGCCACTCACCAGCCTTCTGGCCCAGCACCATACTCTTCCTCAGCTGGGCCGCCTCGGCCAGTCTGTTCTAACTCCACACTGACATGGTAGCCACTGCCTGCCCCTTCTCGGGCTTATGCCCAGGGCCTGCACCTCTCCTAGGCATGCTCTTAAGTTACTTTCTCCTTAGGAACAGGGAGGCAGCAGTCTTGGGCTGGGGTGAAGGGCGGTATGCTCTGTCCTCAGTCATGGCTGAAGCTGCCCCATGTTTTCCATAGTGATTAAAGAGATTTAACGAGCCGGGTGTTGGTGGCACATGCCTTTAATCCCAGCACTCGGGAGGCAGAGGCAGGTGGATCTCTGTGACTTTGAGGCCAGCCTGGTATACAGAGCTAATTCCAGGACAGTCTCCAAAGCTACAGAGAATCCCTGTCTCGAAAACAACAAAACAAACAAACAAACAAACAAAAAAAGATACTATTTACAAATGAGTTAGGCTACCCCAGGAAGAAATAATCTAACAACCCAGAGAGTGAGATTTTCTAGCAAGCTATTAACCCAGACACATATAACATATGTAAGTAAGATGTGGTGGCAAGACCACCTTTATTAAAAAAAAAAAAAAGTGGGGGCTGGAGAGATGGCTCAGAGGTTAAGAGCACTAACTGCTCTTCCAGAGTTCCTGAGTTCAATTCCCAGAAACCACATGGTGGCTCACAACCATCTGTAATGAGATCTGGCGCCCTCTTCTGGCATGTAGGCAGAACACTGTATATGTAATAAACAAACAAAAAAAAAAGTGTATCCACAAGCTGACCCCTCAGCTAAAACTTTTTTGTGAGGGTGAAAGGGTCTCACTATGTAGCCTTGGGTGGCCTTGAACACAGAGATCCACCTGCTTCTGTCTTAAGTACTGGGATCAAAGCATGCGCCACCACACCAGGTCAGTTAAACATCTTTGAGGGCAGGCACTTTCTCACTTCTTACAAGATCCACTCTTCCTACTGAAGTTGACCATCTGGACAAGGTCTGCAGGGGAGGTCAAGCAAGCAGAGGAGCCACCAGACCCTCCCCTGCCCACCTGGCTTTATGGCCACGAAGCTGGGCCAACACAAGGATGCTGGCCGGAATCTAGACACCCTCTCTCCCCAGTTCTCTGCATGAATGATGAATGACTACTCATTGCTTATGAGTTTAGGACTTAGCAGTTAGCTTCTTTCTTTTTGCCAAAAAAAAAAAAAAAAACACACACTTTTTTTTTTGAGACAGGGTCTCAACTATGTATCTATGTTTGACATGGAAGTTACTATGTAACCAGGCTGCTCTTGAACTCACAGACATCTGGCTATGTAGTGCTGGCTGGCCTGGAACCTGCTATGGAGGCCAGGTGGCCTTGATCTCCCAAGATCTGCCTGCTTCTGGAGTGTGTGTCACCATACCTGGCCTAAGATTTTTCTTTCTTTTTTTGAGACAGCGTTTTCCTGCCCTGGCTGTCCTCGAACTCACTCTGGTCTCAAACTCACATAGATCCACCTGCCTCTGCCTCCTGAGAGCTGGGATTAAAGGCGTGTGCCACCACTGCTGGGCTAGATTTTTATTTAAGTATGTGTGCATGAGTCTGTGTGTAAGTATACATGTGAGTGCTGGTGTCCCTGGAGTCTACCAGAAAGAGTCAGATCCCCTGGAGCTGGAGTTACAAGCAGTTGTGAGGGAACTGAACTCAGGTCCTCTGCAAAAATAGTATATACACTTTAACCACTGAAGCAGCACTCTAGTGTCAACTTGTTTAATTCTTTCTCTAAAGTATTGGAGGTGGAACTCAGGGGCTCACACATGCTGGGAAGTGCTCCACCACTGAGTTGTATGCCTAGGCTCCATAGGCCAGTTTAATAAAAGAAACAGTAACTTCAGCACTTGGGAGGTTGGTGTAAGAGGGTGGTGAGTTCAAGACTGGCCTTGGCTAAGTAGAACACCAAAACAGTTACTGTTATTTTTCTATCTGTGCTGAAAAGTGTTTTGGCATGAAAGAATGTCTTTCTTAGGAGTGGATACTGAGGCACTGGATAAGGACATGAAGCTGCCTGCACACATGGGTTCAGTCCCTAACACCGCATAAACTCAAGAGTGGTGGCACACGCCAGCACGTCAGATGTAGAAAAAGGAGTCAGAAATTCAGACCTTACTTGGCTACATAATGAATTTGAGGTCAGTCTGGGCTACACAAGGTCTTGCCTCACAAAACGACAAAAGTAACATTTCACTTGTTTCAAACTATAAGGAATGAGGGGACAGGGCTCTGTGAAGGCAGCTCTCTCTGTGTGTGTGTGCGCGTGTGTGCAAGCACACTGTGCTCTCACCCAAACACACAGGAATAAAGTAAAAAGACGTTAACAGTGGAGTCTAGGCACCAGGCAGGCTATTCATTGTGTCACTGTGTGCTTCAAAACTGACACAGACCCCTTTGACCTTGAGCAGGCCAGATTCCCCACGAGTAGGCGTCTGGAAACTCTAGGTTCCAAGCTGGACATGGTGGCTCACACCTATAATCCCATCAGTCAGGAGACTGAGCCAGAAGGATTCAAAGTTAAGGCTTGCCTGGGTCACAGAGAAGGAGATCCTGTCTCCAACAAGACCAAACCAGAGCCCTGGAGAACAATTATGTCCACCATGTCCCCGAGGGGAGTCCTGCCCTCCCCCCGGCTCACTTTGGCCCACTCACCAGCATCCCACTCCAGCAGGCTGGGGTCCTCCCAGCTGCTCCCCGCTGCTGTGCGGATGCAGCGCTTCAGTTTCTCTGGCTTGCCTTTCTTCTTGTCCTCACCCAGCGGCTCCGGGACCTGGAGGGGGCGGGGACAGGAGTTGGGAGTCTTGTGCTCTGCAGCACCTGCAGCCCTGGCACCTCCCGTTCAAGTGCCACACGCGCTTCTAGATGTGGGATATGCGGGGGCCTTCCCCGTCTACACCTGCCGCTCTGCGGCCAGGGGACTGCTCTGTCTACACCTACAGCTCTGCAGCCAGGGGACTGCTCCGTCTACACCTACAGCTCTGCAGCCAGGGGCCTGCTCCGTCTACACCTGCCGCTCTGCGGCCAGAGGACTGTCCTGTCTACACCTACAGCTCTGCGGCCAGGGGACTGCTCCGTCTACACCTACAGCTCTGTGGCCAGGGGACTGCTCCGTCTACACCTGCCGCTCTGCGGCCAGGGGACTGCTCTGTCTACACCTACAGCTCTGCGGCCAGGGGACTGCTCTGTCTACACCTACAGCTCTGCGGCCAGGGGACTGTCCTGTCTACACCTACAGCTCTGCGGCCAGGGGACTGCTCTGTCTACACCTACAGCTCTGCGGCCAGAGGACTGCTCTGTCTACACCTACAGCTCTGCGGCCAGAGGACTGTCCTGTCTACACCTACAGCTCTGCGGCCAGGGGACTGCTCTGTCTACACCTACAGCTCTGCGGCCAGGGGACTGTCCTGTCTACACCTACAGCTCTGCGGCCAGGGGACTGTCCTGTCTACACCTACAGCTCTGCGGCCAGAGGACTGCTCTGTCTACACCTACAGCTCTGCGGCCAGAGGACTGTCCTGTCTACACCTACAGCTCTGCGGCCAGAGGACTGTCCTGTCTACATCTACAGCTCTGCGGCCAGGGGACTGCTCTGTCTACACCTACAGCTCTGCGGCCAGAGGACTGTCCTGTCTACACCTACAGCTCTGCGGCCAGGGGACTGTCCTGTCTACACCTACAGCTCTGCGGCCAGGGGACTGCTCTGTCTACACCTACTGCTCTGCGGCCAGGGGACTGTCCTGTCTACACCTACAGCTCTGCAGCCAGGGGACTGCTCTGTCTACACCTACAGCTCTGCAGCCAGGGGACTGCTCTGTCTACACCTACAGCTCTGCAGCCAGGGGACTGCTCTGTCTACACCTACTGCTCTGCGGCCAGGGGACTGTCCTGTCTACACCTACAGCTCTGCAGCCAGGGGACTGCTCTGTCTACACCTACAGCTCTGCAGCCAGGGGACTGCTCTGTCTACACCTACTGCTCTGCGGCCAGGGGACTGCTCTGTCTACACCTACTGCTCTGCGGCCAGGGGACTGCTCTGTCTACACCTGCCGCTCTGAGGCCAGGAGCCTGTGCTGTGTGGCAGCTCATGGGCTTCTGCTCTCTCCCAGCCCCTCCCTTAGGCCCCTCCCTGCATGTCCCCAGCTCACCTCTAGGGCCATGAGGCCAGGAGGTGGTTCGGGCCGAGGGGGCCGGGGCCGTGGACGCAGGGACAAGAGCTCAGGAATGCGAAGTGGAGGCAGCAGGCCACGCACCACCTCCAGTGGGAGGGGCAGGGGCTCAGGCTCAGGCAAGGGCATGGCTAGGGCCAGCGGGAGGCTGGGACCAATGACTGCCGGCCCAGCTGGGGCCCCTCCTGCTCCCACGGCCACCGCCGCGCCAGCTTCCTCCAGCCCAGCTGCTGCGGCCACTACTGCCTCTTCCTTCTCCTTCAGGCCCAACCCGAGGCCAAGGCCCAGCTCTCGAGGGGCGGCTGGCTCCTCCTGTGGGCAAAGGGAGGGTGTGAGGGGCGGGCAGCTCACAGGCTCACATCCACTTCCCCCACAAGAGTCTGGGAACAAAGAGGTATAGTCAGTTGGACACAGAAGAACACAGGGGACAAGGGAGATGGACACAGGTGACCGCATACAGGGATGAAGACAGGATCAAAGGAAAGCAGAAACACACAGAACTGATTCACAACAGCGTTTCTCTTTATGCTCTCTTCCACACAGGAGAAAGCTGAGCAAGGTCCACATGCCTCCACCCGCATCACTTGGGAGGCTGAGGCAGGAGGACTGACTGCAAGGCCCAGGCCAGCCTGAGCTACATACCAAGTTCTTGTCTCCAAAAGAGTAAAGAAAACAAAGATTTCTGTCACACAAAGAAATGAAACAACAGCCGGGT